CTTCTGTATGAGATTTGAATCTCTTGTGGTTGTTTCATTAAATTCATTACGCATGATTTTCTGTTAAATGTCATAAATGCTGGTCATTTTGATTTTCGATGAATGCGTTTGCTTTGTGAGTGACTGGAGTTAGATGTGTCTGCGGTGTAATGAGGACGATTTGAACGAAAGCCATTTCCATATCATCATTCTTGTGTTCATGTATTCACCTGTTTGCTGAGATTTCATTTTTCCATTGGTTCAACCGAGTAGGAATTACATCGGGCTAAACCTAAAAGCATTCTGTTAATGCAATTTTTTCTTGGGAAATTACGATTCAACTCCTTTATGCTTCCATCCATGCATTTCATTCATATGTGTTTGTATAACATATATGATGACACTGTCCGTTTGTACTGGCACATGAGAATTAAGGACAACGATTGTCGCCCGGTGTACTGCTATAAGGCTCTGTTCGAGGACGCATTCAATAGTGATAGGTATGCAGTCACACCGATAAAGCTCTGTCGAACTGGGTTCACGATGTTCAAAGACAATTGATATGAAGAACACCGTGATGAGGTTCCAATTGATATCGAGAGCAGTGGATCAAGTGACGAGCCTGACGCACTAGACGGGGCTGCAGTAAGCATAGATGTGTCCTGCTTGCATAGCAAGGACAAGTGGAATTCTGACACTGGGAAGAAAAAAGGGAAGAAGAAGAAAATTACCGCATACGAACTTTTGTACTACGTCGATTGGGCGACGACAGCCAGTGAAAATGTTGTTGTCAAAATTGACAGCTCTATTGGCCCTACTGTGACCAACCCGAAGACCTGTAAAAAGGAGTTGTTGTCGAAGGTCGACTAGAAAAGAGAGCAGATCTATACTTCTGGACGTGCACTTACCTGTCCCAAACGCACAATAGGGAGATATTGGACATGCAGGACAATGCGAATGAGAAATTTGCGTTGGTCGAGTGGAACTGGAAGGAGTACAGGAGAGCACAACCCTGATGATATTGCAGTGAGTTATCAATTTGTCGTTTTCTCTAACTCTGTGTTATGAAAACATTTGGTCAAACTTCGTTATATATTAACTTTTTATGTCAGACGTACTGTTGCATGCCACGTAAATGCCAGTGACAACAACTTTGGTTATCATACGTCCTTAGTACGCTTGGCTACAAAAAATGTTGATCTCCATATATTCGCACTATGAATGCCTACAAAACAAGCAGTTGGATGTTTGTTAATTTGTTAAATAAGTAATTGAAGCATAACAAGTACACTTCACATCACTAATGTCTTTCACTTTAATTGGTTGGGAATACTTGCAGTAGGTATCACAACTTCCTGTCATTGGAAAACAATTATTAGAGGTATTCGTCTATAAAATAGAACACATACGTACTCATTATTACATACTCTCGAAGATTGAGTTGGGAACAACATATGTTGCTTCTTCGAGGGGTTTCGATAACTTATTCCAAATCAGTGGTATGGCACATTTCAATATCAGTTGCATGTTGTTGCTGGACTCCGATAATGAGGATGAACCTAGGGAAGAGGCATTTATGGTAGAGCTACAAACGGATATCATTGAGTGGTTTCGATAGTGTCATATGAACTCAGTTGCATTGCATAATTACTACAGCCAACAGAGACGTAGGATTTGTAGATTTCCATTCACACGGAACGGTCATATGTTCATGTTAGATGCCATGGCATGTAATCCGCAACAGTGCTATGCAAAGTTCCGTATGTATCCACCAATGCTGCGAATGTTCACGCACATCCTTCGCGACCAGTTCGGGTTGTACACTTTGCAACAAATACATGTGTATGAGCAAGTCAATATGCTTCTTTGCATTTTAGCTCATGGAAAAGGCTATAAACAGGTACAGATGCTATTCAATCATTCGTTAGAACTGTCCGACTCTACTTCAAACTAGTGCGTTGAGCAATCCTACAGTTCTCTAGACTCATAATTCAACCTAATCCTAATATAATCACGGTGCCGAGCATCACGTACCAGATCAAAACAAATATTCGTTGTTTAAGGATTGTATTGGTGCAATAGACGACACGCATGTGAAAGCCATCCTCCCACGAGACCAACGAGTGAATATTATCGGACGAAAGGGATTTCCAACACAAAATGTGCTAGCTACTTGTGATTTTAACTTGTGCTTCACATTTGTTTTGGTGGGTACAGTTGGCAATTATCATGATGCCAGAATCTTGGCTGGGGCAATACACAACCCTGCGATTCACTTCCCACAACTAGCACTTGGAGATTTTTATCTGGTAGACTTGGGGTTCGCTCACAGACTGAGGTACACGACACCTTATAAGGGTTCCGATACATTGTATCATTTCAGCAATTTTACAACGCAGGGACAAGTCGTAGGCGTAAGTTTCGAAATGCATGGGAGAAGTTTAATGTCAGACACTCGTCGTGCAGGAACATAATTAAACTTGCTTTTGGGGTTTGGAAGAATCGTTGGAAAATACTCGATCATATGCCGAGTTATAATTTCAAAGTGCAAACGGCTGTTGTAATCACAAGTATGGGTATCTACAACTTCCTTCGACGGGTGGGGTGGGGTGTGGTAGACGAAGCATTTACTAGAGCGGAGACGGATCCTGAAGTAGCAAAGGTGGAGTTTCCGGACGAAAGGGTTGAAATTGAAGTTGAATTGCATGCACCGGAAGTCGCATGAAATGAGTGGAATTGATTCAGAGATTATTTGGCACAACAATGATTTTGGTTGTTTATGTTTCAATATTTCTATTACTTGAAAACATTTTTCCATAACGAAGAAACAATTTAATTGCAATTTTTCCATTTGTCGAGCATAATTATTTCGCAAGCGACGTTGTGTTTAAATTGATTTTGAATGGATTTGGAAAGACGAATTACGTACACTCAAAGAGAAATGTACATCTCCAAAAAATTGCAATCCTTCTTTTGCGGATTTGTATTTTGGTGGGACCACCAACTTGCAATAATGGTTAGAATTAATGGTGTTGGTTTTGAATGGTCAAACAAAAGAGGCCCTTCACATATTTTTTAAAGTGGGAGGCATGTAATGGTAAAATGGACAAGCAATACATTTACTTTGCATTGAATGACATGTGTGGGCCCGTGACTTGACAGGAGAACCAATTCTCCATTTTGCAAGAAGCAACACCAGACGGTCCCATGATTTTGCTTGATTTTGAAATGTGAAATAGTGTGATGTGTAATGTAACACGTGAAGTATGTGACTTCATATGAGTACACAGTGTAATATGTTACATTACATTGAAAACAAGTTTGATGCATAATATTATATGTTTAGTTTAAGTTTTAAAACATACATTATGATCATAATTGATTTTGAAGTGAGACGTAACATGGTCGAATATATCATGATAGCATTTCGAGGAAGGTTAGGACGGTTAGTAAAGAAGGTGAACAAGGCCATTTAGAAAATCTTTTTATGATATCGAACACCTCTTTTTCACATTATTTATTTGGAACATCTTTCCAGTGCTACTCATGAGTACTTAATAGATGTCACAAGAAGTTAGAAGTTGCGAAACATACAATAATCAAGAAATAATAATATTAATTTTGCTTAATTTTAGAAGAATGTTTAGCAAGTTTTGATTATTTATGGTTCAGCTACAAAAAAAAAAAAAAACTATTTTTCTCTTTCTTTTCTATGATTTATAGTAGTTATAATATACAAATTAATGTATAGTATTTCATGAATTATTTTTGGGTAATTGGCACAAAACGTCCTTACCTTTCAAGTCTATTGTGGAAAACGTCCATACCTTTCATTTTTTGGCATTTTTGCCCTCATTTCAACCTTTCTTTGTGCTGGACGTCCTTCCGTCCATATTCCGTTAGTTTTTCCGTTAATTAAAGGGTAATTGGCACAAAACGTCCATACCTTTCAAGTCTATTGTGGAAAACGTCCCTACCTTTCATTTTTTGGCATTTTTGCCCTCATTTCACCCTTTCTTTGCGCTGGACGTCCGTCCGTCCATATTCCGTCAGTTTTTCCGTTAATTAAATACAAAAATACCTTTTTCTTTCCATAAACAAGGATAAAATTGTCTTCACCCACTTTACCCCTTTTTCCCACCATCAACTTAGTCCATAAGTAACAGTAGCAGCGACATGAATCTGAAAATACTTTAAATGATTAAGTTAAATAAAGAAAAAATATCGTGAACACATTATATTTCACAATTCCACAGTTACTGTTGTTGTCATCTTGTGTCACTGGAAAATTTTAGAAAGACATATTAAATGGGTAGTCAATTTATAATGAGTCAAAATGGTGAATGGCTCTTTTTGGCTCAATGGAGAAGATGAATGGCTCATTTTAAATTGACTCATTATAAATTGACTACCCATTTAATATGTCTTTCTAAATTTTTCCAGTGACACAAGATGACAGCAACAGTAGTTGTGGAATTATGAAATATAATGTGTTCACGATATTTTTTCTTTATTTAACTTAATCATTTAAAGTATTTCAAATTCATGTTGCTGCTACTGTTACTTATGGACTAAGTTGATGGCGGGAAAAAGGGGTGAAGTAGGTGAGGACAATTTTACCCTTGTTTATGAAAAGAAAAAGGTATTTTTGTATTTAATTAACGGAAAAACTGACGGAATATGGACGGAAGGACGTCCAGCGCAAAGAAATGTTGAAATGAGGGCAAAAATGCCAAAAAATGAAAGATAGGGACGTTTTCCACAATAGACTTGAAAGGTAGGGACGTTTTGTGCCAATTACCCGAATGTTTAACGGAAAAACTGACGGAATATTGACGGAAGGACATCCAGCGCAAAGAAAGGTTGAAATGAGGGCAAAAATGCCAAAAAATGAAAGGTAGGGACGTTTTCCACAATATATTTGAAAGGTAGGGACGTTTTGTGCTAATTACCCAATTATTTTTATTCTTTCGATTATAAGTTAATTTTTTGGAAAAATATTTATAAAGCCCAGTTGAAAGGCAGGCCCATGATAGGGTAACCCATGTCTGTCAAGCAAAAGGAGAAGAGACGCTTAGGTTTCTTTCATCACTCTCTCGGCACTAATTGATCTTACGCTGCAGCGATTTCTACTCAACTTCTTCACCCCCAAACTTGGAAGGTAATATAGGATTGTATTAGTGTTAAAACGAGCTTCATACGTTGAAATGGACTCGATCAGTTTGTTGTGAATGATTTAATTTGAACTCAACTCCTTATAATTTATTTTATTTTTCCAGAATTGTTGTTTCTTGATGGCAATCTTTCTCTGGCAGCAGTGGTTTTTTCAGCAATATTTCTCTTGAATTTTTGATGCGGTTGTTTATCGTTTTGCATTGCCTTAAAAACTGGCTGTCCCTCAAGTGTAACAGATGAAATACACTGGACCAAAATCCAGTCCACCCCTGTAATTTTATAACAATCTGATAACAAAGTTGTTTATGTACGTACACGAGTTTGATATTCACTGATTGGACGATACAGTAGTGTTTCTCACGGATGTTGCCAGTTACCAAAGTCTTTTTCGCCAACATGTGTCCAAATACAAGTACAAAACTTTAGCAACCGGTTTGTGTCTGTGTCTAGGTTGGGAAGGGTCTTTCATCTATCATTAATCTGCAATTTTATTTTATTTTATTTTTTTAAATCATTTGCTTCATTAGACACCAACATACCTTTATGTGATGTGCTTGTATATATCAAGTTGAGAATGGTTTGTAATCTATCATTAATCTGCAATTTGTGTGTGTTTTTTCCTAAATCATTTGCATATAACCGTTATGTGTCTAAAGTTGGGAAGGGTCTGTCATCTATCATTAATGTGCAATTTTTTATTTTTTAAATCATTTTCTTCGGTAGACACCAACATACCGTTATGTGCTTGTATATACTAATTTGAGATTCTTTGTTCCTTGTTTCTTCGTGCAGCTGTTGAATTTTGACCAAAAAAATTAAACAGAAGGGCACAGAAAAAAGGTTGTAGATATTCTGTAAGAGAAAATGAGCCATTGTATGCATCACTGCAATACTGCTTTTTGCAAGCTAATTCAAACTAATCATTCTTTACCATGGCCAAACCTTTTTCCTCGGGTTTTTAACCCTACAAAAGTACAATCAAAGAAGAACTCGATAAATTTGGACGTGCAATCTCTGCCTTTGAAGCCAAGTTGTGTGAAATTGCGAAGTGAGCTGGGCAGTGTTAAAACTAGCGAGGATTCGACAAATGGGGTTTTTTCCAGTGTGCAAAAAGTGGGGAAACGAACAGATATCAAAAAGATTTTAATACTAGGAGCCGGTCCAATTGTCATTGGACAGGCTTGCGAGTTTGATTATTCGGGAACACAAGCTTGTAAGGCCCTAAAAGAGGAGGGATATGAAGTTATCCTGATCAATTCGAATCCTGCAACTATAATGACTGACCCCGATATGGCAGATAGGACTTATATTGAGCCAATGACACCGGAATTAGTTGAGCAAGTGCTTAAAAAGGAGAGGCCTGATGCTCTGTTGCCTACAATGGGTGGGCAGACTGCCCTAAATCTGGCAGTGGCTTTGGCTGAAAGTGGTGCGCTGGAGAAGTATGGGGTTGAGTTAATTGGGGCAAAGCTTGGGGCGATCAAGAAAGCAGAGGATAGGGATTTGTTCAAGCAGGCGATGAAGAACATTGGGGTCAAGACACCTCCTTCGGGAATTGGGACAACTCTTGAGGAGTGTATCAACATTGCCAATTCAATTGGGGAGTTCCCCTTGATTATTCGGCCAGCATTCACTCTTGGTGGGACCGGGGGTGGGATTGCTTACAACAAGGAGGAGTTTGAGCTGATTTGCAAGTCAGGGCTTGCAGCTAGTTTGACCTCTCAGGTTTTGGTTGAGAAGTCTCTGTTGGGGTGGAAAGAGTATGAACTTGAAGTTATGAGAGACTTGGCAGACAATGTGGTGATTATTTGCTCCATCGAGAATATTGACCCAATGGGAGTCCATACAGGGGACTCTATCACTGTAGCTCCTGCTCAGACTTTGACTGATAAGGAGTACCAACGGCTTAGGGATTACTCAATTGCTATTATCAGGGAAATTGGAGTTGAATGCGGTGGCTCAAATGTTCAGTTTGCTGTGAATCCAGTAGATGGAGAGGTGATGGTAATTGAGATGAACCCTAGAGTTTCGAGATCATCAGCTTTGGCTTCGAAAGCTACTGGTTTTCCAATTGCTAAGATGGCTGCCAAGTTGTCAGTTGGTTACTCGTTAGATCAGATTCCAAATGATATTACAAAGAAAACACCAGCTAGTTTTGAGCCTTCTATTGATTATGTTGTAACCAAGGTAATATTCATCCTCATTTCACCTTTTGTTTCTAATTATTGTATTTTGATTTAATCTTTTAGATTCAACAGCATATTGTTTACAAAATGTCTGAAAGTCATCATTCTGGTGTTTAGCTATCTGGAATTCATTATTTAAATCGGTCTGTCCCCCATTCCACTGATTTTTTCATGCTGTATTGCTAAAACTGGGAGATGGATGTCTATATTCACCATGAGATCAAAGGAAGTTTTTCTAAATAGAAAATAAGGAGTTCCCATTCCTTTCTTCTGCCAATATACAAACTTTAGTCTGTGGGTTTCTCCCTCTACCGTGAGTTTTTTCCTCTAGACCGACTGTGTGGTTTTTAAATGTGTTGCTTATAGTTGTTTGTTAGTACTTTGTAGTATTGGACCAATGACTTAAAACCTGATCTCTCTTTTCTCATTTTTCCCACTTGTGTATAGGGGCAAGATGAAGATGGTTAGCATAGATATATAGATGGAAAGAGAGAGTGGAAGGGGAAAGGAGGAAGGATTTGGAGGTGGGAAGAGAGATTTCATGAGCAGAAAATCAATACACTTGACAGAGAAAAATAAATTAAGAGTAGAAACATCCACAGGGGTCTTTATGATGGCTAATTTACATGATCTTCTAACGTTTGGTATTACTTCTATAAGGCTTCTTTTCCAAAAAAAAAAAAAAAAGATTGGTAGATTAGGATAACATTTTCTACTTCCGTCAGATATTTTATCATTAGCAATTTGGTGAGTTATTTCTATTAGCCATTAATACAGCTTTATGATTACTTCTATTAGTATCGTTTTGGCTTCTTATTATATTCACATAAGTTTAAGGAATATTTTCTCTCTTTTTCTGGAAATTCTGTAGATACCTCGGTTTGCCTTCGAGAAGTTTCCTGGCTCAGAGCCAATTTTGACTACCCAGATGAAGTCTGTTGGTGAATCCATGGCGGTGGGCCGAACATTCCAGGAATCCTTTCAGAAAGCATTACGCTCTTTGGAATGTGGCTATTCTGGATGGGGTTGTGCACAGGTCAAGGAACTTGATTGGGATTGGGACCAATTAAAATACGGCCTGCGGGTCCCCAGTCCAGATCGCATCCATGCTGTTTATGCTTCAATGAAGAGGGGAATGAAGGTTGATGACATCCATGAGTTGAGTTACATTGACAAATGGTTCCTCACTCAACTTAAAGAACTTGTTGATGTAGAACAGTATCTTTTGGCTAGGAGTTTGTCACAATTGACAAAGGACGACTTCTGGGAAGTAAAAAAGAGAGGGTTCAGTGATAATCAGATAGCTTTTGCTACAAAATCCACAGAGAAACAAGTTCGTTCAAAGAGATTATCTTTAGGTGTTAAACCTGCATATAAAAGAGTTGACACATGCGCTGCCGAGTTTGAGGCTGATACGCCTTACATGTACTCATCCTATGACTTTGAGTGTGAATCAGCTCCCACTGACAGGAAAAAGGTTCTGATTTTAGGTGGAGGGCCAAATAGGATTGGACAGGGAATTGAGTTTGACTATTGCTGCTGCCACACATCCTTTGCTCTTCAGGTTTGAGTTTTCCATTAATTACACATCGATCTATTTTTTGAGCTCGGTGGCTAATGGGTTGATATTTTGATGATATTGGGCATTCATGTCATTTCTGTGCATATTTGAGTAATATTTTACTGAAGATCTACACGAATTAATCAGTGGAACTGTATAAGCTGTGAATCTGCATGAGCGCACTATTGATATTTGGCATAATTGTGGATATTTCAGATGAGTCAATGGAATGAATGTCTAATTTGAAGAAGAAATGAACTTAACTACATACAACTGTAAGTTTAAGATTTTGAGCTTGTCATTTTATATTTTGCTTTTACCAAAGATGATGTTAACAATCCAGCTATCCAGTTGTAGAAGCTCATTCTCGTTTTTGCTCTCAAGCTTCATATTTGTTATTTTCAAGACCTTTTAATGGAGGATATTTAGCTAGCAGATTCTTGTTTGATTAGTTTTACCCATTCTCAATGACCAGCTACCTTCCCAAATAGAAGTCTTGGATGGTGACTTGTGGATTCCATTATCTCAATCAAATGCATTGTACTTCTTAGTTTAATAGTTCAATCATTGCTATGACCATGTTTACTAACCTTTAAGTGGCTTATTTGCCATCTTATTTCTGCTGTAAAGACATGCTTACTCCAAAGCCAGCCAAGAAACCATGCTTATAAGCTTAGTCAAACATGTTGTAGGCCTCATAATCAGTGATTTGATTGCTCTGCCTGGCTTCTGTGATTTAATCCGCACATACTTATTTGTGCAAAGTTAACAATTTGGCTTTTTAAAAAAATTCATTAAAACAGGTGTACTGTCGTATTTGATTTGAGACTGTTTGACTGGTAGTAGACTCAAATCTTCGAAATATAACTTTCACTGAAATTATAAGAGGTTTTATTGATAATATAAATTTATTATTATTTTTGATTTCTCTTTCATTCTTTAGTAGTGAACTAGTGGTATCACAAGCTCATGATGTATTATTCGATGCATAACACAATGTAATGTATTATTTGTTAATCTTTTATCTTATATTTTTTTATGAGCATATGTAATTATAGTGCCCGTTTGGCAAAACTTATAATTGCTTAAAAGCTAGTCAAACTCTTTTTTTATTCACACATCCCTTAGGATCCACAGCTTGTAATCTAATAAAAGCTTTGCCAAACATGCATGTAATATGCAGTTTACTCGTGATGTTATGTAATTTTTTCATCTTTGCATTTTCTATGCCAGACTTTTTAAGTTACTTTTGTGGAAACATTTAAATTATACTCGTACATATGAAGCACAAATGTATTCAATCGGGTATTGTCTGATTCAATTTTTTCCTATGTTGGATAATATCTGTAATTATCAAAAACATGGTTGGGAAAGGAACACCAGATAGCACTCCTAGATAAACTATTTCTGTTTCATTTGTTTATTCTTTTTCTGATTCTAGAGCTATGATTTTATTTGTTGATGTAGGATGCAGGCTATGAAACAATAATGATGAATTCAAATCCTGAGACAGTATCTACAGATTATGACACCAGTGACCGACTCTACTTTGAACCTCTTACAGTTGAGGATGTTCTCAATATTATTGACTTGGAAGGACCTGATGGCATCATTGTGCAATTTGGAGGTCAAACTCCACTTAAACTGTCTCTTCCGATTCAGCAGTTCCTAGATGACAGCAAGCCTAGGTGCAGAAGTGGTAATGGATTTGTTCGTATTTGGGGGACATCACCGGATTCTATTGATGCTGCTGAGGACAGGGAGAGATTCAATGCAATCTTGAATGAATTAGAGATTGAGCAGCCAAAGGGAGGAATTGCGAAGAGTGAAGAAGATGCTCTTGCCATTGCATCAGATATCGGTTACCCAGTTGTTGTCCGGCCTTCCTATGTTTTGGGTGGTCGAGCAATGGAGATTGTTTATAGTGATGACAAGCTTGTAACTTATCTTGAAACTGCTGTTGAGGTGGATCCAGAGCGTCCAGTTTTGATTGATAAATATTTATCTGATGCAATAGAAATTGATATCGACGCACTTGCTGACTCACATGGTAATGTAGTGATTGGTGGAATAATGGAGCATATCGAACAGGCCGGGGTTCATTCAGGTGACTCAGCATGCATGCTTCCCACAAAAACCGTGTCTTCTTCATGCTTGGAAACTATTAGATTGTGGACTACAAAATTGGCTAAGAAGTTGAATGTTTGTGGACTCATGAACTGCCAATATGCCATCACAACTTCTGGGGACGTTTTCTTGCTCGAGGCTAACCCCCGTGCATCCAGGACAGTCCCTTTTGTTTCCAAGGCAATTGGCCACCCACTGGCTAAATATGCTTCCCTCGTCATGTCAGGGAAGTCTCTTAGTGACTTGTCATTCACAGAAGAGATCATACCAAAATATGTATGTGTGAAAGAAGCTGTTCTTCCATTCGAGAAATTTCAAGGGGCAGATGTTCTTCTCGGTCCTGAGATGCGTAGCACAGGTGAGGTTATGGGTATCCATTATGAGTCTTCAATCGCATTTGCAAAGGCACAAATAGCTGCAGGACAGAAGCTACCACTTTCAGGAACCCTCTTTCTTAGCTTAAATGACTTGACCAAGTCACACCTTCCAGCTATCGCCCGAGCCTTTCTGGGAATTGGATTCACAATCGTTGCAACTTCTGGGACAGCTCGTATTCTTGAATTAGAAGGTTTTCCAGTAGAGCGAGTACTGAAGATGCATGAAGGGCGGCCTCATGCTGGTGATATGATCGCTAACGGGCAAATTCAGATTATGGTGATTACTAGTTCAGGTGACAGTCTTGACCAAATTGATGGGCGCAAGTTGAGGAGGATGGCTCTGGCTTACAAGATTCCTGTTATAACCACAGTTGCCGGCGGTTTAGCCACTGCCGAGGCAATAAAGAGCATGAAAAGCAACGAGATTGAGATGACAGCTCTTCAGGACTACTTCAGTCTTGATAAAGAAGCAGAAAGCAATAAAAATTTGCAGTCAATCTCATCCTCTCTTTAAGTTAAAGATATTCAGTCAGGTAATATTTTTCTTTTGTCTCTGTTTAATTTTCTCAAATCAGTTTTTCTTTTTGTAATCTGTCTTTTTCCTTTGCAGTCTCAATTTGCTGTATTAGAAGAAACTAAGGTTGAAGATGGTGCATCATGAAGGTCACAGATCTGGTCAGACGATATAAAACGTCGCTTTGGGTGGCTGTCGAGTAATCGTCTACTACCTGGTTCTGCAACATAATTGCACTATTCATCTTCCCTTCTCCTTCTCTTATGGTTTTCAGTTCTTGATCAGTGTGTAGATGTATTTGATGTCAAAATGTCGCCTAGACTCGATATCGGAAGTATTTGCTGTGGCCATTAGAACTGAAATTAATTTGTTGTACTTTGCTTTTTGCTATTTATGAAGAGGATTGAAAATTATGGATACATGTTGAGAAGATCTGTTATATTTGTAGACCGGGGAAAGATTTGAGAAATTTTCAACGCTAAATTCAGGTTCGTGGCAATCAGTCTTCTTCTACCTTCTAGGTTTGTAGCCCATTAAAAAGTATTGAAATATCTTTATTTTGAATTAAGTAAAATTGAAAGAAAATAGAAAAATATGTGAAAATGAATTACCATTTCATTTGAAAAAAAAAAAATATTTATCTAGTCTTGAAATTAAAATCCTCACACTGAAGTTTGCCCCTTAAATTTGGCCTCATTAGCTACTTAATATTTCATTTAACATATTTAATTTTTTTCTTCAATAAAAGTGGAATGTGAATATAATTTAAATTTGAGCATTAGAAAATATTTTTAGTAAACTTAGCGATGTTCGAGATCTATTGTTTTAGAAGAAATTTTGTAAAAGGTGATTTCTTAAGAATGTGTTATTGAAAATATAAAGAAAAATTGAATTCGTGTGTTAAATTATTTTAATAAAATGATGTGCGGTTGAAAATGAATTTAAATAAAATAAATTTTAAAGAATGGGATTTACTCTACAAAATAAGAATTGAAATAACAATAATTTGGGCAATGTTTACTTATAATAATTATTGGCAAAATTTATTCCATGTGTTTTGAGTTAAAAAATTGATTAAAATTAAAGTTAGAATTAACAATTATTTTTTATATAATTTCATGGAATCATAGTATCATTCGTTAATTTTTATCGAAATTTATTAAATATTTGATTTTTAAGCCCCTGTTTGATTTGGATAAAACATAAAAAAAGAAAGAATTTTAGTAGATTTTAATAAAAATTAATGAAATATATGATTAAAAAATTGATAATAATTATGAATTCCATAAAATGTATCGTTGAAAAATGAATTTGATGTAAAATGAGTTTTAAAAATTGGGCCAAACAGAGCTTTAGTTTTACCTTATCCGACGCAGAACCCATTGCAGTCATACTTCGACATCCCTCAATTAGCCCCTCCGTTTAAACGTGTCTTCTTTCTTCCGATCCAGTCTCTCTCTGTCGTATATACACAGACCCAGATATACACGTTTACATACATGTGAATCTTGTTTCTCTCTCTCTCTCTCTATCTAGGTTTTCATCAACTCGCAGTTCGTCTCCCAGATCTCAATTCAAATCTCATCTCAATATTTCAATCACAAATTCTTACAATCTAGTATCGAATTCTCAACCATCAGTACCCGGCCCGAAGTTGATCCGTACTAATACTTCAATTTTCGGACCGGAAATCCCACCGACTTGAAAGATGGAGCAGCTGAAGACAATCGGCCGAGAGCTCGCAATGAGCTCCCAAGGTGGTTTCGGGCAGTCCAAAGAGTTTCTTGACCTCATCAAATCCATCGGCGAGACCCGATCCAAGGCCGAGGAGGACCGCATTGTTTTGCGCGAAATAGATACCCTCAAAGCCCGATTATCTAGTCCCAATACCCCGAAATTCAAACTCAAGGAGTATCTAATGCGTCTTATTTATGTTGAGATGCTGGGTCACGACGCCTCGTTTGGTTATATTCATGCTGTTAAAATGACCCATGATGAGAGTTTGTCGTTGAAGAGGACTGGTTATTTGGCGGTGACCTTGTTTCTGAATGAGGATCACGATTTGATAATTTTGATTGTGAATACGATACAGAAGGATTTGAAGAGCGATAATTATCTGGTGGTTTGTGCCGCTCTTAATGCCGTGTGTAGGTTGATTAATGAGGAGACAATACCTGCTGTGTTGCCGCAGGTGGTGGAGCTCTTGGGGCATCAGAAAGAGGCGGTGAGGAAGAAGGCAGTGATGGCTCTCCACAGGTTTTATCAGAGGTCTCCAGGGTCGGTCTCCCATCTCATTTCCAATTTCCGTAAGGTGTGCTTTCTCAATGGATGGGCACTTGAGCATTCGAAAATAGTTATTTAGCTGTTTTTTAGAATATGATTGCATATGTAATGCATTAATGTGAACATGAAAATATTAATATCTTGCAACAATGGGCATAGATGAGCAGGTGAATAATGTGGAATGAATTTTTGTTTTATGCAAAAGCAGTATAGCATCATGATGAATATTTAGTATGGTACTAAATAATTTTATTATTATGTGGTAGTAATTTTGCTTAAATTTAGCATAAATTTTCTCTCATATTATTAGATGGATCGGAAATGAGGATATGTGGAGATAAGTGGACAATTTCTGGAAATTACGAATATAAAAACTTGAATTTATTTATTTAGTTTTACTTTTAATGACTTCAAGCAATAATCCGAGGTTGTTAATTTAGTTTTTCATTATAATGATATTATGTCCTGGTGTCATTTAAGAACGCACTTAAATCATGAATGTTTCCTGAAAGATGAGAGTGGTACACTTGTCTGTGTCTATTGTCAGTTTTACAAGGATATTTGCATGCACGGCAATAAAATAGAGTGACATCAACAATGTGTGATTTGCTTGTGCATAAGGAGATAAAATGTTCTCAATTTCCTAGAAGTGATTGTTGTTTTTGTTGTTGCAGAGGCTTTGCGACAATGATCCGGGTGTTATGGCTGCAAGTCTTTGCCCTCTTTTTGATCTTATTGTGATTGATGTTAATTCTTACAAGGATTTGACGGTCAGTTTTGTCAACATTCTTAAGCAAGTAGCCGAACGCAGACTGCCAAAGAGTTATGATTATCATCAGATGCCCGCTCCATTTATTCAGGTATTCCTGAAACAATTTTTTATTTTATTTATTTATTTATTTTAATTTTTGTTTGGGTATGTTCTCATATACTCAACTTTGAATATTTTATAACTGGAGCAGAATCATACTTGATGGTGTTCCTTCGGGGTAAAAAACCAGGAAGTTACTTCCATTGGCTTCAGTAAACTTCCACACTGCAGTTTCTTATATCTACCAAATATTCAAATCTCATAATTCATTGAATTTTGCCACTAAATTCTATATCATATTTGTTGTTTCTGTAATAGCTGTACAGAAAGAACAATGAATAAGATGAAAATAGGCCAAAAAAATACAAAAAACTATAAAGCACATACCATTCATGATTTTGGTACTTTGGAATCATTGCGTGCTTGGAAAGGCTTTTAACAGGCTGAAAAGATGAAATTGACATTTCGATAAGAACCTTACTGGTTACTACGGTGAACCTAATTCATCAAGGAATTGTCTTTCACTTCTTAAAGCTTTGATACAAAATACCTGGTTTCCAATTTTTCCTCTTCCTTTTTGCATTGAATTTGGATCGATCCTTTTGAAAATTTGAATACTGTACACACATGCATAATCCACTTTGAGATAAAAAGTGGAATATAGAGGATGAAAGGAGCGCAGAGCAAACCTAATTGGGCTGGAAAACTTTTGGATGTGGCTCTACGTGATTATGGTAATTTGGAATCACTGGCGAATTGAAGTATTAAGAGATTCTCTGCATCCTTTAGTTCCATTTTAGTTCTATCATAGCATAAGTTGATCTATTTCCTAAAAAGGATGTGAAATATTTGGAGAGAGGGATTATATTTATTCTTTGAAATGACCTGCAAAAGATAAATATATGTTCTCTCTATCAAATTATGGTACTATAAAGTTCTTGTTCTCAAGTATCTGAATAATTTAATCTCATGTGGTCAGCCCCGTGACATGTGCTACCATCTTACAAAAAGAGGTCACATCTCTTTTTATAGCAACTGAAAATACTGTTTAGCTGCAAAGCATGTGATTTGGTTAGGGCTTCAGCTTAGAATAATACCTAAATTTATATGTTATCTTCAGTTTTCTTTCAATTTATGCATTTGTTTGTTAATTATGCGTAGTTGTCTCCTCTGTTTTGCAGATTAAGTTATTGAAGATTCTGTCACTATTGGGTAATGGCGACAAAAAGTCCAGTGAACAAATGTATACCATTTTAGGTGACATAATTAGAAAATGTGATTCGGATAGTAATATAGGGAATGCTGTTCTTTATGAGTGCATATGCTGTGTTTCCTCAATACATCCCAACCCAAAGTTACTTGAATCTGCCGCAGACACCATTTCAAAATTTTTGAAGGTCTGTACTTTGCAACTTGGTTTGCTTTGCTTTTCCAGTTCATTATACTTATCTTAGTGGCCGTACGTGTATTATAATTATCTCAGTGTGCACATCAGCAATTTAGCTGAGTGCGTAGAAAATAACTTCCCATTGTAAGTTCTAAAATCATACATCTTGCTACTGCAAATTACCAATTGATATACGCCCAAAATATTTATCATTTCAGCTGGAAACTTATTAATTTAATATAATAGATTTATCTTGTGCATTCTAAAAGCAGATTGACCTTAAATTTTCATTAGATGATCCAATTTGAGCATTAATAAACTCTTCTATCTGATGAAACAAGGTTTACTACTGTGTGAAGGTTTTATGGGATGAAAAAGTGGGACTAGGACTGAATTCATATTTGTAGAAGACAAATAATAATTGGAGGAATGTCAAGGTCACTTTGTGTCTGAGATAATGTATAGTTAAGGGGATTAAAGAAAAGTGATGGATAAAAGAGATGTATGGATGCTATATGTAAAAAAGGAAACACCTTGAAAATGAAAAAATATTTCATGACTGAGATTTTCATATTAATTTCACTTCAAAATCTGACATACTTCTCAGAACAGGACCTAGATGATACCCTAAAGCGCAAGACATTTGATCTGCTTTATAAAATGACAAAGTCATCAAATGTAGAAGTCATAGTTGATCGTATGATCGACTACATGATAAGCATCAATGATCATCATTACAAAACTGAAATAGCATCGAGATGTGTTGAACTTGCTGAGCAATTTGCTCCAAGCAATCAGTGGTTTATACAGGTGAAGGACCAATTCATAATGTTTTTATGCTTTTCCTGGTGACTCTGCATCTATATTTGTAAATTTACTAATTTTCTGTTTCTTTTGCTGTGTTTATTCTTGTCAGACCATGAATAAGGTTTTTGAGCAT